CTGTAGTACCATCTTCCTTTGTGCTCTTCTTCCCACTGTTTCTGCCATTTTCCCTTTAGTTTTGTTTCACTATGGTTCTTACTTCTGATTTACTGATGGATATTGTAAAATTGATTTGATCGTTTGTTGCTGCTTTGCTGCCCTGTCCGCTGCTTCTTTCCCTCTGATCCCTAGATGTGCTGGTGTCCATAAAAACATCACTGTCAGTCCCATCATTTGTATTCTGAATAATGTTTGTTGTAGTTCTAGTAAAAACGGCATCAAAACTGACCTTTTATACATTTAATAATATTAAATTTTAAAATTATTTCAGTTTGACTTGGCCCAGTGACAGAATCAGAATTAGGAGAAATTATTTTTCATTCAGTTCTTTTGTCACACATTTTATTTGTTATGGTTGTCTTTAATGCGTAAAGTTTGACGGAGTGCTCTGTGTGCCTCAAACTGCTGCTTACTGCCGGTACATGGAACGTTCTGCACACAGGGACAAAAGAAATCTATTCATTGATGCACGTGAGCTTGAAAACGTGCCTGTTTGTTGGAAACAGCAAAGATTAAAAGAAACAGACACATTTATCTTTGTCTTTATTTATTTAGTTTGGTGCAATAAACACATTTTTTTCTGACAAAGCTAAAAAACATTCTACTTTTTTAATTTTATTTTGTCAGATTAATTTCAGACGCTCTCTAAACCTCAGTACCTTTACTCTCATGTCCCTGAGGGGAATAATTAACCACGCTGAAATAAACTGCAAATATAACTTTTAATCCAAATCTATCATCACTTCAATCGTCTCAGTTCTGTCTCTTCTTTTTACCTTCATCCTCATGCTTCAGATTTTTATTAGTGGTGCTCCACTTTCACATTTGAGAGCTTCTGTAACAAATCCCTGACAGGTCACTTCACCGCACCCCAGAAGCAGCACCTGCAGAGCCCCTGCGGAGTCCCGCCTCCCGGTCGATTGAATCGTTTTAGTTTGGCTCACCTGAAGCGTGCACACGTTCACATTTAGTACTGAAAGGCTGTTCCACCGTCATGCAGGCTGTGGAATCAGACGCTCCACGGCTCAGAGCGGCTGCTGTTGGTTGGCAGGACGTCTTTAGCTGCTGCACCGTGCTCCCAAAGCTCGCTGTATCTCCGGATCGGTACAAGTCAAAAACATTTAGGAACTAACGTCTCTACCACTTGTAGAGATAAAAACAGAATCCAACAGTAAATAAAAATAGATTTAATAAAAGCTCCATGTCCGAACACTGAGAGACAAGTTTGACCCAAACCAGGCCTCATTTTCAGCTACTGGTTCTGAAGGCGGCAGCACGGTGGTACAACTGGTAGAGCTGCTGCCTCTCAGCGAGCAGGTCCTTGGTTCAAATCCCGGTCCAGGGGCCTTTCTGGGAGGAGTTTGCATGTTCTCTCCGTGCATGCGTGGGTTTTCTCCGGGTGCTCCAGTTTCCTCCCACAGTCCAAAAACATGCATGTTAGGCTGATTGGTAACTCTAAAATTGTCCCTAGGTGAGTGTAGTATGACATATAGGGAAATATATTCATACTTTTCACGAGTTCCTCATCTTTCTGACTGTGTAAATGTCGTGCATTGAATTTTAACAGAAATGTAACGAGAGACGTTATTTATGTTTGACCCATCAAATGAATGCGGTCATTTATTTTCAGAATCAAAGTTTAACATCAAACATTTACATTAATTTTGGCAAAATATGAAAATAATAACAGACAAGTTTCACAAATAATGAACTTCAATCACGCGGCGGTGATTGAGGACTTAGCTTCAGATATTTCTAAATATCTGTACTGATTTTAGGAGAAAGCAGAGTTTAAGATGGAAATGGAGATTTATCTTACAGAGAGATTTGTGAGGGAATTAATCTGTTTGACCAGAAAACGTGCACGCTCCATCAGATCTCAGCTGGCCTCCGGTACACTTAGTCGAAAATAGAACCTTCTACCTGGTTGACGATGAAATCAGCGTCGGCGTAGGTTCCTTTCTGACTCTTTCAGCGTCTCCGTGAGAACTGCCAAACCCTTAGAGAGTCGTACGAGGTTGTTCAAACAGAAGTTATAATCCCAAAACGTCTCTGGATCATCCTGAACGCGTTTGCACCCAAGAACTCTGACTCCATCACTCTGTGCACTCTCTAGTTGAACTCATTTCTGAGTGCAGCAACACAGCCACCAACAAACTCCAGCAACTCAGCGTCTCAGCCTCTTCAGCCACTGTATGAACTGGGAAGTTGCCACATTTTAAATGGGTCGACTTCCGGGTCATTTGAGAGCTTTTTGATTGGTCGATGGACCAGGAATAGAGGTGTGGTTGGTGATGTAAGATGTTATTAAAAGTCAAGGATTGTTTTAGTGACAAACAGAAAGATTATTGTAGGACTTCAGACTTCGTGGAGTCTCACTCTTATTATCTTCTGAAAAAGTTTAAACATGACATTTTTCTCGGTAAACATTTTAGTTGACCGAAAACCGACCTTTAACATACTTACATTGCAGACAGAAAAATCAAGAAATGCATATTAACCTGATTTCTTCTTTGAATGAGGAATAAAAATCATTACTTACTGTTTATGTAAAATAAAAATGAGTAGTTCTCTTCAACCTGTAAGCATTAAGAACTAACACAATTTGATTATCAAACATTTGTAAAATAGTAATGATCATAGAGAATTGTCTTTTCTGCTTGATTAATTCAAGAAAGAAAGTCACCAGATGGCTCAAACTGTATTTCTGGATACAGATCAATGAAATAACAGTCACTGCTCATCTGATCAAGATTTGAGGTCAGATCAGGTTCAGATCAGGTTCACTACATGAGAGAGTGAATGGTTGTTTGTCTCCATGTGTCCCTGTGATGGACTGGAGACCTGTCCAGGTGTCCCCCGCCCCTCCCACAGTGATTGCTGGACATGGGCACCAGCGACCCCCGTGACCCAAAATGGAAGAAGCTGGTAAAGATAATGGATGGATGGTTCTGAAGGGTCTGGTGGGCTGGATTTGGGGTGGGAAATGCTTTTATTTTATTTTTCAAAACTTGCTGTAAAATAAATGCTTTATTAGATTTTTTTTAAAAGTGTTAAAAAAAGACACTTAAAGATAAGACTTAATTTTAAAAAGTCATTTAAATTGAACGAAGGTTTAAGTCTTATTAAAGGTCGCCGGTTCAATTCCTCGGACCGACAACATCAAAATGTGTGTGGGAAAGGTGAAGCACCCACACCTGCCTCCACCCTCATCTGCCCCACTCTGGACCCTTGAGCAAGGCCCTTAACCCCCACCATCTGCTCCGCCGGGCACCCTAGATGGAGCTCTCTGCTCCACTCAGAGGCTGTGGTTGTGTCAGGAAGAACATCTGGAGTAAAAACAATATCCAAGTCTTCCAGAGAGAGAGTTCACTGTGGCGACCCCTGAAGAAGGGAGCAGCTAAAAAAAAAAAAAAATCAACAAGTCTTGAAAAGTCTTTTTTTGTGTGTAAAAGTATTTTTTAAGGTGGTTGATTTCCCCACTCATGAATATAACATTTAAAGGGACATCCGGGGTTAAAACCAGGGCTTAATCTGAGCCAGATCTGGGAACGCTCTTATTTTGACAGGGTGTGCTCCGGTAACTGTTTGATTAGACCCAGTAACTCTCAGGCTTACTAATAATAAAATTATGAACAAATTTGACTGCTTTGAATGAGTAAACCCTATATTGGACATGTAATCTTAAAATAATTACATAAACACTCATTTTAAACATAACGAGCTTCTTAATATCACATCAGAGCTGCTCCTTCAAGTAAGTATTTCCACTTCAACCCTTGAAAAAATCTCCGCCCTTAAACGTTCAGTCATGGATAATTTAATTAAAAACACAAAAATATAATACAACAGCACAACTAAATTGCAAATCAGTTTTACAGTTTAAGTGGGTCGTTAATAAAATGTTAATTATTTATTAAAAATACGAGATAAATGTTTGATGGTACGTGACGTACATCACGTATCAAAACGACGGCACCAGTTTGTCAAAATAACAGCGATCAAAACGTCAAAAAGATTACTTTGATTTAAAAAAAAAGTTTTCTCATTGTACAACTAAACAACCAAGAATTGAAGCACATGAAGGGAGATACTGGAGCAGGTGGAGTGGTGTGGGTGAGAGCCGAGCTAACCAGGCTGTCGTACCCGGTCAGGAGCCCAGAGCCACAATGAACTGAGGAGGAGCCTGGGGGGTTCACATGTGGAGGAGGACAATGAGGTTGGACAGTGAATTCAGCGGAGAAGAGTTGGACTCAGAACCATCAAGTAAAGGGGAGGGGGGTTAGGATGCGTGAGAGCAGTGGAGCGTGTTCTATTTACACAAGGGGAGCTGTTGGTCAGGTTACTTCTTGTTGCTCTCTAAAATAGTTATTGGCTCAAGTGTTTACAAATGTAGGTGAACTTAATGTTAAAAACTGTTAAAATACATCAGAATGAAGAAAATGGCCTAGACTTTATTCAAAATGTTCTGGAGGAGGACTAGTCCAGACACTTGGCACAATTGTTTTACCAATTAGGCACTGGTTGAATCCCTGAAATGGTCATAAATCAGTGAGGTTTAGCGATTCTGAGCTTAAGTTTGAAAACACAGGATCAGCCTTTAAGCTTTAGGTGCAGAGTGGCGGGCGACATGCATTCCTCTGAGAATGCTGCTAATTACTCAGGTTGTAGTGGAGCAGAGCCCCTCAGAGGCACAAACCTCAGACAGCATGATGCCATGATGAAAACTTTATTCACAAACACATTCTGAGGAAACTCATCCCTTTGATTCTTTGTGCATGTGCAGCAGAGAGAGAGACAGAGCGGGGGGAGGAGAGTGAGGGAGGAAACACAGCCAGCACCAACAGATGAGGCTCAGACCGACGCTGCAGCTCCAGATCTGGATGCTGGTTCTGAGGAGAGGCTCAGAGCGGAGCCTGGGGCCGGGCTGCGCTGTGGATGGGATTACAGCTGGTGTCTCGTGTCTCCTGTCGGTGCTGCTGCTGGAGCCAACATGCAGCTGCAGAGGTCTCCGGTCCCCCTGCTGCTGCTGAAGCTGCTGCTGATGAGGGTGAGGATCGGGCTCTGCAGCGGCACAAGTTTCCCAAGTAACATCAACATCGGTGAGTTGTGCTGCCGGAACATCTTCATCCGTAGCTCTCATTACGACGCTCAGTTTAAAGTAAGATCATGTGCAGTGGGTTCAGGATGCAGCTCAGGTTCAGTTCAGCTCCTGATTCTTGAAACTGAATCTCCTGAACTCAGCGCTGCTGTCAGCTTTGTTTCTGACAGGAGGAGGTCCTCCTCTTTACATTTCACATCATCCCTGCAACAAACAGGTCAGACAACACAAAACGGTTCCTTCAGACGTCAGAAACACTGTTTTTATCACCTTTCTTCATAAAAGTTGGAAATTGTTTTATAATATTTGGAACTATAAAACACACAGTAAGAACTGCTGGGTGTGAAAATGAGCCGGTTTGTAATTTGGCTCTGGGTCAAACCTGGACCGAGCAGATCCTGGCTAGTTATCAGTTTGAACCAGTATAAGATACAGTTAAAATGAATAATTTGTTGAATTACAGTTAATGAGGACGTAAAACAAACAAGCTCAAATCTGTCTTGATGTTATTTAATGATCCACAGCTTCATTTGTTAATCAGCTGAAAACGCCAATCAAGTAAAACATCTTCTTATAAGATGCATCCTAAAGCAGAGGTCCAGGCAGGTCCAGGCAGGTCCAGGCAGGTCCAGTTTGGTGGAAATCTGTCTGGAAATGTTGGACTGGAAAGTGAGACTCACCTCCAGTTAGTTCAGACTGAGCCAATATTCAATCAACCCAACAGATGTAACCCACCTGAGTTATTAGAAGAACTCAGCAGTTTTCAGAGTGTAGCATACAGGAAGCATCATTGTATTGTCTTTGTGCAGATTATAGGATTAAGACATTTAATCCCATGAAGAGTCACGCTGATAGATGTGCGCAGTGATCCATTGTTAGGATCCATACGGCATCATTAGGATCCATTTGGGCATGGTATGGATCCATATGGCATTGATAGGATCCATACGGCATTGATAGGATCCATTCAGGCATTGATAGGATCCATTCAGGCATTGTATGGATCCATATGGCATTGATAGGATCCATACGGCACTGCTAGGATCCATATGGCATTGTTAGGATCCATCCATGCATCGTTAGGATCTATTCGTGCATCGTTAGGATCCATCTGGTAGCGTTAGGATCCACACAGCATCAATATGATCCATACAGCATCGATAGGATCCATATGTCATTGTTAGGATCCATCCGGACATCGTTGGGATCCATCCAGTGTCGTTAGGATCCATACAGCATCAATAGTATCCATACGGCATCGATAGGATCCATATGTCATTGTTAGGATCCATCCG